CCACGTCAGAAGACACCTTTTTTCTTGATAAGTTGTCCTCTCTCTCTCTCTTTATGTCTTTCACTCGCTTTCCAATAATTGTTTTCTTCTCTGCAATCTGCTTTATATTTTCAGAACTGCAAAATGAAACTTTTCGAATATCCTTATTTGGTCCAGAGAGAGATTCTCCAAAACATCGATTATCAGAATCTATTTCTTCTTTCGTTTGTCTCGACGAAAATGAAGAAGTTGATCAAATTAACTCAAAGCAATAGATTCAACGTTCTATTAGAGGTTTTACGGTATTTAATTCGAACTAATTCCAAGTGTTTCTTTGGTGCCGATGAACTGTCAATTTTGAGCCAATTTATCTCGGTTCCTTTAAGAGATAAGGAAAAGTGATACTTTAATAAAAATGTAGTACAAAATGTAGTACCCCCCTACTCAGATCGGCCTCGTGAGGGGCATTTTTTCTTTCATGTCCTGCCCTTTAATGTTTTATTACACCTGATCAATAAAAAAATTAAAATTAAATGTAATTGATTAGATTTTCTATATTTTATTAGTTAATCATTTTGCTGTAACTTTTCTGGAAATGGAAATATTTTGGGTTAATGCGGTCTCCCTCTTGGAGCGCCCCCGGATGATCCTCAAAGCTGCGTTCCTTCTAACTCATATATCTTGACTCCCTGCAAAGATACAAAAATTTGGTCAACTATGAAGTTGTTCAAAATGAAATTTCCTACATTCACTAGTTAATCACTGTTTGTTTTTTTCTTACAGGAATTAAGGAAAATTAGCTGAAAGTTTCTCTCTTTCTCTGTGCTCTCTCGGGGAATCAGAACTCTCTTTTTTCCTTGTTTTTTAAGCTTCGTCAACTACAAGCCTCGCTTCCTTCTTTATTCATTTATTTATTTATATTTTCAACAAAGGACATATCTCTAACCTTCTGAAAATCTTTCAATTTTTTAACTTTCCTATCATTGAATTATTTTCAGATGCCCATTGCTCTCCTCAAGTTCCCAACTGACCTTCTTCGAGAAGTCTTCAAACTCTGCGATCCTTTCGAACTGTAAGTATTTCCATTGACTTCATACAAAACCAATATATTTTGAGATATTTGTCCAAATATTCCAAAAGAACCCAAAAATCGATTAAATCGGGCGGAACGAAGAATTGGAAGCTCCAATTCTGTGGTGGAAACATTATAGTTGCGTCTGTCGATGGATTGCATTACAACTTTGGTATAACTGAAAATCCAGACGACTATTTCAAAACACAAAATGCTGCGGGATACGGGAATTACATGAGTATCGAGTTTGGAAATCCTTTCTATGTGTTCTTCTACCTTATCGACACTTATCGAATTCGTGTCGTTGAATCTCTCGGGATTTACTTTGGCAGTTTTGATAAACTTTCGAACGCAGCAAGAGAATTGATCGGAAGAAACATTGAAATTGAACAAGTCCATATTGGCTCTAATCCAGAAGTCAAAAAAATTGACAAGTTAATGCCACTGACAAACAAGATGCATGTCAACCAGAATTTTGAATGTTTGAAAAAGTTTCCGCCAAAGTTCCGCCTGAAATTGGACAAGTTCCCAAAAAATATTCTTATCGCCTCGTCGTTTTTGTTCACTATTGACCAACTATTGGAGTGTACCTGTGTTCGAATTGAACTATGGGGATCTTTGTTGAGCAATCAGGACATGGATGTGTTCTTCCAAAAAAGGAAGAAGACAAGATCATTTCCGAATCTTCGCTGGCTTCAAATTTATAGTAAGAATATTGATGACAAATCTTAAATTCTCGAAATGATCCCTCCGATTGAGAATGATGGAAATCGAAGGACGAGAATATCGTAAGTTTTTCTTCAGTAATTGTAGAAATCTTTCATGAGTTTCTTCAGATTTGGTGCTTACCGTATCGATAACCCCGTTCAATGTGATTAAGGATAATGGAACAGTGGGATTGCTGAGAGTGGAGGTAAATTGCCCGCGGTATGTCCGGGGTATCAGGTTCCTGTGATAAAATAGAAGAAACTCAACAAGAAATGTAACAAAATCGGTTTATTATGAACAAGTTAGAAAGAAACAACAAATAAAAGCTTAGAAATCAAGCAAACTCACTTGAAATCCTTAAAAGAGTCTCTAGAACAACCACGAGCCAAATCCAAGCTCGCAATCGCGCGCCGAGCGGGATAGCGGAGTGTCGTTGCGTGGGTAGAGGGAACCTTTAGAAGGGGTTGGAGGGTAGATGCCCAAGGCAACTGGTAGCAAACTGGTCAACACTCAAATTCCTGGTGTAAGGTGACTATTTGGATTCACAAATATCAATTATCAGCTTCAATACTGGTATCACCGATAATTTGTCTATTCCTTTCTATCCTTCCTCCAACCTTTCGCTTTTTCTTGTTGTATATCTACAACTCATTTTTAGTATTGTACTCCCGAACTAATCGCCTCATTCTCACCTATCCCTTATATTTTTTCCACTAGTGTAATTGATGTTTGAATTGCTTATTTTCTCAGTCTATGACCCCTTTTGACCGTAATTAGTCTTAAAGAAGGGTGGAGTCATCCCAGAGGGACCCTTCCATGTCACTCCTACCTATTCTTCCAGACGCCTTACGGTACTGTGTGCAATTGTACGATCAATTATCTTTGTTTGTTTTGTACATCTTTTACCCCTTGTAGTGCACTTCTTGCTGCTCCCATTCATCACAAGAAAAGTTCAAATAAATATCTTTGAAATTACCTAAACCAAGTAACTTGTATTTTAAATCCTGAGTTCTTTACAGCTCTATTGATTTCTTTTAACTTCTCAGTATCTATTTTTACTCGTATCTACCTTTCTAATCACTTCTTCCAGATGCCCATTGCTATCCTCAACTTCCCAACTGACCTTCTTCGGGATGTCTTCAAACTCTGCGATCCGTTTCAATTGTAAGTATTTCCAGTGACTTCATACATAAGCATTAAATTTTAAGATATGCACTTTCCAAGTGTTCCAAAAGAACCCAAAAATCGATTAAATCGGGCGGAACGAAGAATTGGAAGCTCCAATTCTGTGGTGGAAACATTATAGTTGCGTCTGTCGATGGATTGCATTACAACTTTGGTATAACTGAAAATCCAGACGACTATTTCAAAACACAAAATGCTGCGGGATACGGGAATTACATGAGTATCGAGTTTGGAAATCCTTTCTATGTGTTCTTCTACCTTATCGACACTTATCGAATTCGTGTCGTTGAATCTCTCGGGATTTACTTTGGCAGTTTTGATAAACTTTCGAACGCAGCAAGAGAATTGATCGGAAGAAACATTGAAATTGAACAAGTCCATATTGAAGATACTTCAGAAGTCAAAGACGTGGAGAAGTTAATGCCACTGCTCAATAATATGAATATCACACAGAAGTTCGTATGTTTGAAACAGTTTCCATCAAAATTCCGCCATCAGCTGGACAAATTCCCAACAAGGATTCTTATACACTACTCATTTTGGTTCAACATTAGTCAACTATTGGAGTGTACCTGTGTTCGCATTGAACTACAAGCGTCCATTTTGACCAACCAGGACATAGATGCATTTTTCCAAAAATGGAAAAAGCCAGGATCATTTCCGAACCTTCGTTGGCTTCAAATCGTGAGCAAGAAGATTGATGGCAAATCTCCGATTCTAGGAATGATTCCGCCAATTCTGCATGTTAGTCGTCCCAGGTCAGCAGTATCGTAAGTTCCTCATAAGTTTGTGTTGAAATATTTCAAAAACGTCTTCAGATGGCATGCAGACCGTGTCACCGACTACGTTCGATTTACCAAGGATAATGGAAGAGTAGGATTTCTGAATGTGCAGTTAGGAACCTGGTCAACGCTCAAATTCGCACCGATCATTTAAATCTAAAGAATGTCTCTTTCCTTAATTTTTCTCCCACCTCTTTGGTAATCCCTCATTCTCACCTATCCCTTATATTTTTTCCACTAGTGTAATTGATGTTTGAATTGCCTATTTTCTCAATCTATGACCCCTTTTGACTGTAATTAGTCTTAAAAAAGGGCGGAGTCTTCCCAGAAGGATCCTCCCTTGTCACTCCTACCTGTCACTCCTATTCTCCAGACGCCTCACAACACTATGTCCCCTTCCTTTTTATTGTTATTTACGATCCTTTAGTGTCTATTTGTTTTGCACATCTTGCTGCTCCCATTTATCACATGAAAAGTTCAAATAAATATCTTTAAAAAGACCTAGACCAAGTAACTTGTGTTCTGTTCCGAGTTTTTTACAGCTCCATTGATACTCTTCAACTTCAACAGACCTATTTTCACTCTTATCTATTTTTCCAATATGTCATACTTTTCTTCCAGATGCCGATTGCTCTCCTCAAGTTTCCAATAGATCTTCTTCGAGATATTTTCAAACTCTGCGATCCGTTTGAATTGTAAGTATTTCCATTCACTTTATACAAAAATATTACATTTCAAGATATAAATTATCCAAATGATCCAAAAGCACCCAAAGAACGATAATGTTGGGCGGAAGGAAGAATTGGAAGATCCGCTACTTCGATTCGAACCAGGTGGTCATATACGTAGATTCCTTGATATACAGCTTCGAGAAAGCTGATAAACCAGAAGAATTTTTTATAACACAACATATTGCGAGAAACAATAGTTACATGTTTACAAGGAATTATATCCAACCAAGAGACGATTTTAAACAGGTCATGTTCAAAGTCATGAGTATCCAGTGTCCGGATGTAGATGTCGAATTGTTCGGCAATCTACTTGTGTCTTTTGGAATTCGCATAGTTGACAAGCTGAAAATCGACTTTTCCTGTTTTGAGAATTTTTCCAAAATAGCCAAATTATTGATTGGAATGAACATCGAAATCAAAGAATTCTGCGTTGAAGAAGCAGAAACTCGTTTAGTAATAGACGCTGTCAATTATATGTCATTGATCAACAAGATGAATATCACCCTGAAATTTGAATGTCAGCAAAGGTTTCTTCGAAGGTACAACTATCAGTTGGACACGTATCCAAACAGGATTACTATCAACTGGTCGTTTTGGTTCAATATTGAACAACTATTGAATAATAGCTCGGCTCGGATTAAATTGTGGGAGTCCAAGTTGAGCAATCAACACATCAATATGTTCTTCGAGAAATGGAAGAAGGCAGGATCATTCCCCAATCTTCGCTATCTTCTAATTGATAGCATTAAGATAGATAACAAATCTTCGATTCTCGAAATGGTTCCTCCGATTCAGAAAAAAAGGCCAAGGATAGAAATAATGTAAGTTGAAATCAATCCTTCAAACGTAATTGTAAATTTTCAGGGTTGGTAGAAATCCTATCGAAAGTATTGTCGACGCCGTTCAAGTGACCAAAGACGATGGAACAAAAGGGTATCTGAGAGTGAAGCTAGGGACCAACCCAATGCTCGAATTTTTAGTGTAAGATACTTTGATCCTTTAGTGGGATTTCTCTAATAAACATTTCACTTTTGAAACTCAAAATTTGCAGTGCCAATCCAGCGGACACCGTGGTACATCATTACTATATAAGAGTTCGACGATACTGAATCATCTGATTGCCATCGAATGACCGACTTCCGGCTCCATGTATCCACTTTTTTTTGGAATTTAAAATTTTAATATTTTATCAAACCTATTCACTTGTCTGTATGCTTTTCTACACCTTTTCAGCAAACTATATTAACAATAAATATTCAAATTCATCCATTTCAAATTTCCTTTGTATCCCATCAAGAGTATCTTATAAACCTCTTTTCATTCCTTTGAACTTCACACCTTCTCTTATTTCTCTTATCCATCTTTCCACTATCTAGCAGTGATAGGAGGGATTTCCGTTTCCGTTTTCCGCCCGGTTTTTAGAAATTTTTTTCCGTTTCCGTTTCCGTTTTCGTAAAAGTAAAATTATATTTCCGTTTCCGTTTTCCGGAAAAACCGTCATTTTTTTACAGCGGAAACGGAAAAAATTTAAAAAACAACGAACACATTAAACTGAAACCGGCTTGAAAAAAAGCATGGAGAGCAGAGATGAGCGGAAGAGATTTACGGAAATTTACGGAAGACGTTTTATCTTCGAAATGAAAAATGCTACCAAAAAGCTGTCAACAGACAAAATGTAGATCTCAATGAGAGCTATCGATTGGTATTAAAACTGTTTCGAAATTTTGTTGGATTATTCAAATAGAGTCTTTCTTCCGTCTTCCGTGTGCCAGACGGAAGACGGAACACGGAAGAAACGCCATATCTCAACTCTCCATCACTATTATGAGATAACTTTTATACCAATAAATAACTCTCATTGAGATCAACATTTTGTCCGTTCACAACTTTTTGGTAGCATTTTTCATTTTGAAAATAAACCGTCTTCCGTAAATTTCCGTAAATCTCTTCCGCTCATCTCTGATGGAGAGTCATGCAAATATGGTCTTTAAACGTTAAAAACTGTATATTTTTACGTTTGAAGGGGAAAAAATCCTGAAAAATAGACGAAAATAAAAATTTCCGTTTTAGTTTTCCGTTTTCCGCCCGATTTTTGAAGATTTTTTTCCCGTTTCCGTTTCCGCGGAAAAATAATTTCTGTTTCCGTTTCCGTTTCCGTTTTCCGTATTTTGGAAAAATGCGTTTCCTCCCATCACTGCTATCTAGTAGCCTCTTCCAAATGCCCATTGCTCTCCTCAAGTTCCCAATCGATCTTCTTCGAGATGTCTTCAAGCTTTGCGATCCATTTCAATTGTAAGTATAATATTTCCAGTGACTTCCTACAAAGCCACTATATATTAAGGTATTGCTTATCCAAATGCTCTAAACGGACCCAAAGATCGATAAAGTTGAGTGGTACAAGGAATTGGAAAATCTTCTCCGGTTCGAACAGGGCTGTTATACACGTGGATGATTGGAGATACAGTTTTCAAAAAGCTGAAAAGCCAGAAGCCCATTTTCAACAAGACAATTTCTACAAATCCAGGAGTATTCAGTGCCCGGATGGAGATGTCGATTTGTTCTTCATCTTACTCGACACCTTTGGAATTCGCCTCGTTGGCATGTTGAGTATCGACCTTTGCAATTTTGAGAGTGTTTCGAAAAAAGCCAAAATTTTGATCGAAAGGGACATCGAAATTGAAGAATTCTGTATTGGAAATACTCGAGGAGCAAAAGACGCGGTCCACATTATGCCACTGGTTAACAGATTGAATATTACCGAGGAGTTTGAATGTTGGCCAAGGTTTCTGTGTAGGTTCCACTATCAGTTAGACAAGTACCCAAAGAAGATTTTTATCAACTGGTCCTACTGGTTTGATATCAATCAATTATTGAATAGTACCTGTGTTCGAATGATACTGGACAAGTCCATTCTGAGCAATCAAGATATAGATGTTTTCCTTCGAAAATGGAATAAGGCAGGAGAATTTCCCAATCTTCGGTGGCTTCAAATTGCGAGCAAGAAACTTGACAACCGGTCTCCGATTCTCGGAATGATTCCACCAATTCAAACTTTCAATTCTCCAACGATATTGTAAGTTGTAACCAACCCTTCATACGTACTCGTACATTTTCAGCATTCGTGGAACTAGTGACGAGTTCGTCGAAAACGCCGTTCGCGTCACTAAAGAGGATGGAACAGTAGGATGGCTGAAAGTGGAGTTAGGACGTTGGCCAGAGCTCAAATTCCTAGTGTAAGCTGTTTAGATTCTTTTCACAGATGAACTAAAAGGGTTTCAGGAGCAATCCAAGCACTTGAATCCATGGAAAGTCAAAAACCCCACTTGCTGCTCAATTATCATATTGGAATCACCCATATTCTTCTCTTCATTCCTCTGCATCAATTGTATCGCTATTTTCAATCTTTCATATATTGTTTTCCCTATTTTACCTAATGCCCCCCTTATAAGGTGACCCATCTAACATCACACCCTGTCTAACCTACCATATATGATGCCATTACCACTTAAACCAGTCCCTAATGACCTTGAATGTCCCTCCTATACCCTCTGTCTTTGCTCTCGATTGGTTTTCCCCAGAGCCAGATAGCACTGGATTAGTCAGAGGAGAGGTGTGGTTTGTGTGCCTCTCTCTCTCTTTTTGTATAAGGCTCGCTCTTTGTTTTTTCACCAGCCAATAAATGTTCAAATTTACCAAATCAAAATTCTTTGGTGTTTCATTCAAAGTATGCTTCAAAGATTTCGCATATGATAAAAAGACTCTATTGATTTCTTTGAACTTCATTTTATGTTAACTCCCTAGAATAACCATTTCCAGATGCCAATTTCTCTCTTAAAATTCCCAACCGACCTTCTTCGAGATGTGCTCAAGCAGTGTAATCCCTTTGAGCTGTAAGTTCTGAATCTTAGTCACTATTAAAATATAACTCTATTTACAGGTATTGCTTGTCAAAATGCTCAAAGAGAGTTTGCAACTCTGTCAAGTTGGGAGGCGAAATGAACTGGAAGATTACCTACTGTAGTCGGGAAGATATAATGATATGTGGAGATGGTTTGACTTACGTTTTCAAGCCCACTGAAAACCCAGAAGATTATTTTAAAACAATTCAACGTACCAACAAATATATGAATATGAAGATACCGATGGAAAGTGTTGTCGACATGTTCTTCTATCTACTAGACACTTTTGCGATTCGTATTGTTGAATGGCTGGTCATTCACTTTAGCGATTTCGAATATTTTTCGAAAGTAGCAACAGTTTTGATGAAGAGGAACATGGAAATTGAGAGATTACTGATTCGATATATGCGAGACGTGGAAGATATTGCCAACTTTATGCCACTAATCTGTCAGATGAGAATAACCAAGGAATTTAAGTGCGTCCTAAAGTTCCCACCAGATTTTCACTACCAGCTTGTTAAGTACCCAAGTTATATTCATATAACCTACGCATTCGGGTTCAATATCAGTCAACTATTAGGATGTACATGTGCTCAGATCGAATTGCGAAATTCAATGTTGAGCAATCAAGATTTGAATGTGTTCTTCCAAAAATGGAAGAAGTCAGGAGCGTTCCCGAACTTGCAATGGCTAGAAATTGAAAGCAAAAACATTGATAATCGATCTACAATTTTGGACATGGTTCCTCCAATAACGAACAGAGAGAATCCACGGAAACAGATTTCCGTTGTGTGGGTTTTTCCCATACAGCCGTTAATAATTCAGTAAAACAATTTTCAGGTTTGGTGAGGAAATAGAAGATGAAGTTATGATTTACGACGCAGTCAGAATCTGTAAGGAAGACGGTAAGAAGGCGTGGTTGAAAGTGGTGTTAGGAGACGTTCCAAAACTGAGATTTTTAATGTAAGATATTTTGATTTTTGGAGAGAGAGAGAGATGAACTGGCTCCAATTTTGCAGGTGCAAGCCAGGTAATACGTGGGTAGAAGAAATAGATTTGAGTGATTATGAGGAGGAGTCCGAAGATGAAGTGTAGGACGATGAAGGATCTGATAATGAAGAATCCGATGATGAAGGAGGTGATGATAGAAATTGAACTGTTCTGCTTTAGATTTATTTTTCAATTGTCCAGTTTTTTTTTACTTGTTGTTGTTGGCGGTATTCTTTTGATTTGAAAATGTATCATGCATTGTAATACGAAAATTTTCATATAAATGTTCCCCAATTTCTTTATCTAATCGACCCACCCGTCTATTCCACCTAAATTGGTCCTATTACCACCTATACTCCAATGACCTTGAATGTCACTCCTATCCTCCTGTCATTGCTCTCGTCTATTGGTTTCCCCAGTGCCAGATAGCCCTGGATTAGCAGAGGAGGGGAAAGGTCCTCTCACTGTTCCCCATCCCAATAATCTCTATCTCGACGTGTCATTATGATCTTGGGGGTCCTCCTTGCCATCTGCACTGTCCTAGCTACACGGTCTAGACATCCTCATCCCCTTTTTCTGTTTGCGTGCTGCACAAACTTTTTTGTTTTATTGATTTTTGCAGTATCTATTAAATAAACCTTGACTACCGAATTACCGTATTTTATTTACCATTAATTTTCACTATAACAGAGTCTGCTCCGACCGCTCAGCCTGTACTTCCCTCTTTGACCTATAATATCTCAGCTCCTAAAAGAGCTATCAAAATATTAAAAACTACAAATATAAGATTATGATACACATTTTATTAGTTGACTGATTTTTGATATCTTTTATAGGAACCGAGATAATTGAGCTCAAAGTCCTAGGGTTCGATGAGCTGCGCGATAGCAAATGCTGCCTCCTCTCAGCCGGCACCTCTCACTTTGACCTCAAATATCTCGATTCATATAAAAGCTATCGAAATTTTGTTAATTACAAAAATGTCACTGAAACTATCAGAAACATTTTATCAGTAAACAAAATTTTGATAGTTCTAATAGGAATCGAGGTAATTGAGCTCAAAATGATAGGCATCGAAGAGCATCTCGGTAGCTCAGCCGGCACCTCTCATTTTGACCACAAATATCTCGATTCATATAAAAGCTATCAAAATGTGGTAAACTACAAAAATGTTGGTTACATTATCACAAATATTTTATTAGTTAACAAATTTTTGATAGCTTTCATAGGAATTGAGATAGAGGAGCCAGATTTTCAGATGCCAATTAATCTCTTCAAACTCCCATCAGTCGTCTTCCGGGAAATTTTCCAAGAGTGGACTCCTTTAGAATTGTAAGTTCCAAAATTTCCTTAAATCCAAAACATCTATATTTTTAGCTACTCCCTTGCAAAATGCTCTAAAAGGCTTCTGAGTCTTGTAAAATCCATAAAAACCGAAAACTGGAGAATAATTAGTATAGAACCAGAATCCATAACCTTGAGTTGTGGGGTTTATGGAGATTACACTTTCCAAATAAGTGAAAATCCAGATGTTCCTAGACTCCTAGAGGTTCATCCCAGAATTCGAATGCTAAGGCATCCAGAAGAAGGTGTTTCAGATCTGCTAGCTGATTGTTCAGAGCTATTTGGGATTACTGTAATTGATAAATTGGATGCCAAGAACTTTATATTTTTCGATCACTTTTTGAAACTTTCCAAACTGATAGTAGATCGAAAGCTAGAAGTTAAGCGTTTATTCTTTGAAGATCTAAATTTCTATATTAGAAATGTGGCTGGTGTGATCCCCTTTCTAAATGTTATGAAAATCACTGAAAACTTATTTTATTCGCATTATTTGGAAAATGGGTTCCAACCGAATTTTGCTAGATTTCCCAAGACTATCTTCATCAAAGGATCGTCTTGGTTCAATATAGAACAACTTCTGGACTGCACTTCTATTCGGATTAAACTAGAAGATTCTATGCTAACCAATGAGGATATGGATAGATTATTGAGAAAATGGAAGAGGAATGAAATGCCAAATCTACAATGGATTAAAGTTTGTAGCCAAAAGATTCACCCCAGAGATACTCCGATTCTAGACATGCGACTTCCAATTGAGGTGCAGTTTAATCCGACGGGTCATTCTGTAATGTAAGTTTACCTAGTTTCCGTTTTAGAGCTCCAAAGAAATAGGTCAACGCTTGGATTTTGATTGACCTATACTCAACAAGCTACAGTAGTAGTTTATACTTTATCGATTGTCCTTAAATTTTGAGAATATACTGAAAAAATATAGAGCTTCATTTTTGTAATTGTCAACTTTTTATGAAAATGCTTCCAAAAAGAGATACGCTACGTGGAAGGAGACACAGCTTCTTTTTTTTTGGGCGCCACCTCCGTCTTCCCTTCGGCGGCACCGACTAGGAAAGCTCCCTTCCACGTGGCATATCTCTTCAGAACTTGATTTTTCAAAGAAGTTGTCAATTACATAAATAAAGCTCTAGTCTTGTTTAGTATATTCTGAAATTTTCAAACAAATTGATTGAGATTAAAGTACTTTAATGCTGCTCCTTCGCTAGGGTAGGCGTGCCTCCAGGTATGCCCTCTTCCACGTAGTGCATCTCCACAGGACTTAATTTTACAAAAAAGTAGTCAGTTACAAAAATGAAGCTCTTGATTTGTTTAGTATATTTTGCACTTTTCAGAGCAATCGAAAAATTATGACCTACTTTTGTAAAACGCTGAATATTAATCACTGAAAAGTAGGTGATTTTGCCGTTAAAGTCATAAAGAACGCTTGAAAAGTTTCGAAAGCTGCTAATTTCATTCTTATAAGGTTTGATCTTCCAGATTCGATGACAATTCAAGAGTTTGGCTCTCTGGAGGAATCGAAATCACAGCGGACGATGGGACCATTGGATATCTGAAATGTTCGGGACATGAGCTGGAATTCATTGTGCCGAAGCCTTCGAAAAAATTTGCCTGTCCAGTTTTAATACGGAAAAGAAATTCTTAAATTATTGTATTTATTTCTGTCGCTTAAAATTTTTTTTTTGATCTACTCTTTGATCTCCATGGCGCTGATTGATTCCCCCTCTTCACTTCTATTCTTTCTTTGTTGTATCGTTATTGATTTTTCCATTTTCCCTCTTTTCTCCTTTTTCGAGGTTTTTTGAACTTTCTATTTTGAAAATGGTAAACATTTTATTTTTTTTTAACTTTTCTGAATGATTTTAGCCCTACAAGGTAGCGGATTTTGATGATACCGAGGTATTGGGGTCCAAAAATTGAGTATCTAGATTCAATTTTTACACACCTACCGTAAACGGCCACCCCTACTCTTTGAGCTTGATTATCTCAATATATATAAGAGATATCAAAGGAGAGTTAACTAATAACATGTTGGTAATATTATGAAAAATATTTTATCAGTTGACACATTTTTGATAGCTCTTATAGAAATTGAGATAATTGAGCTCAAAGTGCAAGTGTAGGTCTTCTGTTGCATTGTTTACGGTTTTCCCCCACTGAAGCTTGAAAAGCTCCGAAACCACCACACACTTGTTAGTTACTGCTAGCAAACGTCGCCGGTGTAGTGTAGGGGATGTGTTGCCGGGTCTCTGCGCGCAAGGTCGGGAGACCTCTAGTGTTTTTTCACTTTTTATATATTTTTTGGTAAAAACGAAAAAGTTTGAAATTAGAAACCTATGCAAGAATTGTCATGGGATTCTAGGATTGCAAAGTTCAAAAAAGTTTGATCTACAATTCTAGGCGTCATTTTTCACCATAATGTCTTCACTAAAATCAATAGCATTATTTTTCGATTAGTACTGTATTAGGATCGACAAAGCCTCTGGGAAGGTCATTAACCTTTAACAGTACCCCTGGACGTTGTTCTACACATTGAAAAGGGTCGTTCACTTCATTGTCTTCACGTTATATGACAATATATGATGATGTGAAAAGAAAATCCGGGGTATATAAAAGGCTCCAAACCAATTTAGAACTCAACAAACAGATGGCGATTTTTAATTGATTTTTCGATCGTTTTTTGTCTATATAGCTTCTTTTTTTTCATATTCTCTCCGTTTTTGTCTAGCTACACAATCTTAATAACTACAAAAACCCTATCTTTCTTCTGGATACCGTAAACCTTGTTATTTTTTCCGGAATCCATGGCTCCTTGCGCTTCAAAAATCGAGCTGAAACTCGCGAATGAAGATTTATGGCAGAAATTCCCGCAACCAATGGAAATGATGATATTAATGAAGACAGGAAGGAAACTATTTCCAACACTAGAGTATTCGGTTGATGGATTGGATAAAGACGCGTTGTATGAGGTTGAATTGCACATGGAGAGAGCTAATGATTTCAAGTAAGGGGTTTTGGGATTATCTAGCTTGGTAAAAGAGGTATCCAAAATTAGTAAATTGGAAAATGTAGATGACATTCTGCCAATCATTTTATCAGTTGATAGATTTTTGATATTGTTTATAGGAGCTGAGATAATTAGGGTCAAAGTAGGATGTGCAAGCGGCACCCACCCCTCTCCCTCATGGCTGCCGACCGGAGGAACCTTGGAAGCCGTGCTCTTTCCACATCCCATATCCCGACTCCCAGTAGAGATCCAAAAAAGTGGTCAACTAGTAAAATGTGTAGAATTAAATTTCCCTAAATTTTATTAGTTACCAAATTTTTGATATATTTTATAGGAGCTAAGATAATTAGGCTTAAAGAGATCCCACTGCGCGCCCTCCAAGAGTGTGTGAGGGCGTTGCCGACCCCAAGGGGTGGTGGGAGAGCGCCGGCTATCCCACCTACTTTAAACCAAAATATCTCAGTTCTGAATAATCCTATAAACATTTGGCAAACTAGTGAAATTTGTAACATTTAATTTTCTACATTTTATCAAATGACAGATTTTTGATATCTCCTATAGGAATTGAGATAATTAGGATTGAAGGAACAACCTTTTCCAAGCGTAGGGGGCGCCGTCCACCCTACCTACTTTGGCACTCTTCTAGAATCATGGAACGAAAAAAAATCATGGAACGAAAAATAAAATCACGGAACGAAAATTTTAGGTAATCCAAAAACTACTAGGACCTTCATTCAAGTACTATCCTGAAATCTAACCTTGACATTACATTTTTTCTGCTCAGTATCCAAAATGACTCCCGAAATGTGGTATATTGAATCCTTAAGGTACACTAGTTGATAGCGTACATGGTTAATAGGTTACATAGGACCTTTCCCAGATGTTCTGAGGATCATGGGACATATGAGAGTTAGATTAGAGGCTGCAACGAGCAGAGTTATCAAACTTCCCGTCGTTTTTTGGGTGTCCCACATGAAGGAAACATGATGGTTCAGCCTAAGCCTTTAATTGAAAAAACCTTTCCTAATTCAAAATTAGTCTTCTTGAAACAAAATCTTGGTCCGGAATAAGAATAGTCTTGTGCCAAATTGAGTAGAAATCGTGGCATGAAATTTCTTGCCTCGGATGTTTCATTTTTCAAAAATTCGATGATATTTTGGGTTGAGGAAGCTTTTTTTCAACCACTTCTTTCAGGCTCTTTCAGGCTGAAACGCCATGCTTCTTTTATCTGGAACACCCTAAAATGTCAGCAAACTCAATAACTGCTCGATGTAGCTTTAAACTGAGTTTTCAGATGTTCTACAGGTCCTATGTAACCTGTTAACTAGCGTATCTTAAGAAATTGATATACCCTTTTTAGTATACCTTGGGTATTGGAAAAAGTAAAATTGATGCCAAAGTTAGTATTACGGGTACTACTTGTCAAAGTAAAGAAGATAGCAGTTTTTTTGGATTACCCAACATTTTCGTTCCGTGATTCTAGAAGAGTGCCCCCTACTTTAACCCTAGATAGCTCAGTTCTCAATGATCCTATCAAAAAGTAATCAACTAACAAAGTTTTTCGCATATTATGTGGAACATTTTATTAGTTGAAATCTTTTTGATATCCCTCATAGGAACCAAGATAAAAGACCTTGAAATTTCAGGTACAACCATAGAAAAAATACATGGCTTGAGTCAGAGAGTGATCTACCAAACACGCCAACCGAAAAAGTGAAACATTCGAATGGAATACTGACTGGAGAACAGTGGATGGCCGATACGATTTGTTTTGAAAGGGTTAGACTGACAAACGATCCGAATTTGAAATCCCCGAACCATATTTGTGTCCAAAGTATGCACAAATGGCGTCCAGTGGTTACGATTCGGAAAATCTCAAGGGAAAAGCTAGAAGAAGGTTTTGAGAAGGAATTTAGATTGGAGGAGACGTGTTTCATCGCTGTGACGATTTATCATGTACGTTACTGGGTTACTGTAGATTTCCTTTGTTTTAGTTTTTTCAAAGTTTCGATGTTTACAAACGTAGCGTATACTCAACCAAATGTTTTAAAAATTTTAATACTTATGAAACAAAACTAGAGCTTCATTTTTGTAGTTGACAACTTTTTTGAAAAATCAATTCTTGCGGAAATATGGCACGTGGAAGGAGGCATACCTAGCGGCGCGCCCACCCAAGCTAGTGGTCGGCGGCGCCCATAGGGGAGGGTTCTTCCACGTGGCATATCTCTCCAGGACTTGATTTTTTAAAAAAGTTGTCAATTACAAAAATGAAGCTCTAGTTTTGTTCAGTCTGTTCTGAAATGTTCAAAAAGGTCGGTTAAGTTTGACCTACAGGGTGGCTTTTAATTATTGCAACGCATTCAAAATGAGCGTATCTCAAGAAGTATAAAACAAAATCCGATCTAACTCAAGCGAATATTTATTCGTATGTATGAAAATAGAAAACGGAAGAAATTATTCGATTCTGCCACCTTTCGCGGCGATGACAGCTCGAAGACGTCTTGGGTACGCGTCGACTGTGGCACGGAGGTATTCCACCGACAATTTGTCCCATTCCTCCACCAATTTCTTCTTCAATGCCTCAACACTCGAATGGGGTCTTGCACAGACCTTATTTTGAAGAACTCCCCAGATGGAGAAGTCGAGAGGATTCAAATCCGGAGAGGAAGCAGGCCATCCATCCTTCTTGATGAACTGCGGCAAGTGACGCTCGCACCAGTCTTGAGTGAACTTTGCAGTATGGGCAGGTGCCCCATCTTGTTGGAAGATCCAATGTTGTCCGGCAAAGTGATTTTCGGCCCATGGAAGCAAATGCTTCTTCAAAATTTCTTCTACGTAATACTCTTTGTTGATGAGCGTCACTTGCCGCAGTTCATCAAGAAGGATGGATGGCCTGCTTCCTCTCCGGATTTGAATCCTCTCGACTTCTCCATCTGGGGAGTTCTTCAAAATAAGGTCTGTGCAAGACCCCATTCGAGTGTTGAGGCATTGAAGAAGAAATTGGTGGAGGAATGGGACAAATTGTCGGTGGAATACCTCCGTGCCACAGTCGACGCGTACCCAAGACGTCTTCGAGCTGTCATCGCCGCGAAAGGTGGCAGAATCGAATAATTTCTTCTGTTTTCTATTTTCATACATACGAATAAATATTCGCTTGAGTTAGATCGGATTTTGTTTTATACTTCTTGAGATACGCTCATTTTGAATGCGTTGCAATAATTAAAAGCCACCCTGTACTTTTGTATAGCTTTGGAATTTTAGTTGTTTCAACAGAAGTTAAAAAAAAACTGGTTTTTTAAAGATGGTAGGATCAACCGGAACCTTTTTCAATTTGTCTGAAAATTTCAGACTATATTAAACAACACTAGAACTTTCTTTTTGTAGTTGACAACTTTTTATAAAAATGGTCCTAGAAAGAGATACGCCACGTGGAAGGAGGCATACCTTGAGGCGCGACCACAAGAGCGAAGGGGTGGGCGCCAAAAAAGAAGTGCACTTCCACGTGGCATATCTCCCTAGGGCTTGATTTTTCAAAAATGTTGTAAACTACAAAAATGAAGTTCTATTTTTGATTAGTATATTCTGAAATTTTCAGACAATTTGAAATAGTTTGAGCTAGTTTTTGGGAACTTCAAAGTTTGTAAAGTTTTTGGGTTTCTAGGTTAAGAATCACTTGGCTTTAAGATTTAGCTTTAATTTTTCCAGGGTAATTTGGAACAGATTATTCTGAAATTTAAAAAATTGTAGTTTTCAAAATAACGATGTTTCAGAACCGCGACCTGGTCGACCTGAAAATTGGCAACAACCCAATGGCGTCAGCATTTCGAGAGCAATACCTGCTGAAGAAGAATCGGGTGCTCATTCTCAAAAGATATCAATCACGTCGTCGTTCTGACGTCTTTCCGACCCCGCCAACGACTCCAGGAGCTGCAGCAGGACTTCCAGCTCTAACCAATGGAATCACCAGTCCGCTCCAGTCAAGACAAGCCAGGAGTCCTTTGGTGGAATCTTCAGAGAATCAGAAGCCTACGGTCAACAGAATCACTGATGGATTTCCTGAATCATCCAATATTTCTCCTCAATTTCCAATGCCAGCTGGATTCTCGGCTCCAGTTAATGGGACCACCAGTCATCAGAAGCCAGTACCAACCACAAATTATATATTGGGATCTTCAGCATTGGGCAATCAGCCACCTGGATTCGCAGCACCATCCAATATTTCACCTCAATTCCCAATGCCAGCTGGATTTTCAGGACCAACCACGAATCCTATGATGGGATCTCCTGCTTTATCCAATCAGCCACTACCAACCAATGGATTTCCAGCACCATCCACTCAATTCTCGATGCCTTCGTATCAAACTCTTTTGAGCCAGAATCTGATGCTCTTCAGACTCTTAGTACAACATACTGGCCAGACGAATGTGATGGAAATGTTGAAGAATATGAATGGATTGTCAGCTCAACAACAATCAGAAGAGAGATCTTCTGGAAATTAAGGCTACCCAACTTTAAGCTCGATTATCTCGATTCCTGTAAGAGATAGCAAAAATTTGTTAACTAATAAAATGTTTATCATATTATCAGCAATATTTTATCAGTTGACGAAATTTTGATATCTCTGATAAGGTTCCAGATAATTGAGCTTAGCCTTGGGTGCCTTTCTATTTGAGGAAAACTGCAATATTAATGGGTAAATCGACTTTTTTTTTGTGTTCTTTGTCTGTTTTTTCCTAATTGATGATAATAAATGAACCTTAATTTTATCATAATTGTTGATATTGATATACCTAGTTGAATGAAAAATTAATCTTGGGACCTACAATTTTTCCATTTTTTGAAAAAAAAAATCTTCAAATTTTGCGTTAAATCCCAGCTCCCATCAAAAAATCCCAAAAAAAACAAGTTATTTCTAAAATTCCCTCTCTCGCCTAAAACTTTAAATTTCAAATTTCCCGCCGAATCTATTAGAAAAAAGAAATGAGTCATCATAATCGTGGACCATATCGCCAGAATCATCAACCAATGCCACGTCATCATCCAGCACGTCATCAGCAGCTTCCAGAAGAGCAAGATGAGCCAATTGATGTGCCAAATGCAATTGCCAATATGCCAGTTAGGATTACGGTAGACAAGTTTGTTTTTGAATTCTTGAAATTCAATTTTTCCAGGGTTATCGCCAACTTGAACCTACCTCAGCATTAGAATCCATCGCCGCTAGTAGCTGTCTTATGGTGGTCCAGTGCCTGGAGCCAATTGAAATGTGGACAGGGATTGAAACTCCAAATCGATACATTGTTCATGATATGTACATGAGACGGGTAAATTTTTTGGAATTTTTTGTAGTTTGTAGTTGAAATTTTCAGATTCTGTACGCTCATGAAGAATCCGACTATTGGGATCGTTCTTGCGATCGAAATCGCAGAAGTTTCGACCTCCATATGTTTGATAATCGACGGCAGAGATTGATGAGCTCATCCCGGTATGGAGGTGGAAGTTTTACGTGTTCTCCAGATGTCTTGGAGACGTGGCATCGTGGAAATTCAATTGGAATACTGTCGAGAAGTACTTGTGATCATAGGGTGCGCAGTTGGACAGGAAAATGAGAATCATAATTCCCGAAAAATTATAGTTTTCGATTTTCTAAAAAATTGTTTCCAGTTCTATCTCCGCATAGCTGGCTGTCCAACCGAATTCGCCGTCGTTGCTCCAGACGGCGCTCAAAGCAGTCCGGCATGTCGTAGCCGTCACACTCTCCCATTTCCAATTTATATTCAAGGAGGAGCTAAAGTTGGAGAAATCGTCCGTCTAGATCCAGGATATTTGGAATGGGTCAGCTATGCGGACACCTACATGATTCATTGTGAGTTTTCGCTCATAAGTTTTTAAGCTAGAATTTTTCTTTGTGTACCAATCGAAAGAGCAAAAAAAATTGAGCAAGAAAAATTGTGTTGCATCTAAACTAGAATCGTTTCTTACCTTGAAAAAATTCAAACTAAAGTTTTGCTAATTTTTGAATGAAATTTCTCCTTTTAGTACTACTTTCAAAGCCTCATAACTCGTCTCTTACATAACAATTTAAACTTTATACTTATCAAAAGAGCATTTTACATCAGTAAATTATATTTTCAGTCCCTATTGACATGCCGGTCATTATCAAAATGCTCCTTCTCCAAGCAACTTTCCTGATTGATTTCACCTATTTCGAGGATCGAGAACAGAATGGGAATGCGGCAGTTGTGTACTATTAGAGAACTCTGAATTCTTGCATTATTGATAATTGTTTAGTTCTCTAGCAAAAACAAATAAAGCATAGAAAGAGCTAGAGAAATGGTTTTTGGAAAAAAGGCTTTAAAAATATCAATTTTTACCTAGAAGAAGAAAGAAAAGAAATGTGATCTTATTTATCTCAGTAGCTATTAGAGATATCAAAAAACTTTCAAGAATAAAATGGTTTTCATGATATCAAAGGTGTTTTATCAGTTGACTACTTTTTGTTACCTTTCATAGGAATTGAGATATTAGAACTCAAAGTTCAAGTAGCGTTTTATCAACTTCTACATCCTCTACTACATCCACAACCACTGAGAGCCCATTGCTCAAAACTCAATACGTCGTTAACTACGGAGCCATCGGAGCAGTGGTCGGCGTTCTTTTCTTCGGATTGCTCATCTGTTGCATTTGCCATATTAGAAGTGCCAGGAAGAGAAAGAGAGAAAAGGAGGAGGCATGGAAGATTCCTGGATGGACGTCTTCTACTTCAGAAGGCAAGACTAGTGACGTGGAGAGTGGAAAAGGAGGCTTTTGGAGTGAATCTGGGGCATCTGGAAAGTCTGGAGAAGGCAAGAAGAGGGAGAAGAAAGCTGGAAATTCAAAAAGTACCACTGGATAAACCACTACCACGAAGTCGGGAACCAAATCTGGGACCAAGTCCAAAAAGTGAACTCTTTTTTGTTTTCTTTTTTTTACTTGTGTGATTCTAGAAAATTAAATTTAATAAAATTTTTATAAACAAATGAAGAATTCAGGTCCGGTTTCCATTTTGTAGTTTGTAGTCAAAGCATGGAATTTTTGAATACCAAACGATGTAGAAAATATCCAATAAGCACAAAATAACCAATCACCACTAGAAATATGATAAAAACCGAAAATCTTGCTGCCCGGATCCAGAATTTTGGGTTTTTTATTGGTCCCAATTTTGGGATTATATGCATCTGAAATATTTTTTGAACAACGAATTCTTGAGAACTTACATTGTATGCAAAACTGTAAATCTTCAAAAACAATTGTATAAAATTGTTTTTCTAATATTAAATGGAGCTAGAAAACAGAAGAAAAAGTGGCTTTCATAGACCAAAAATTAGGCTCCGCCCACTTTTTCTATTTTAAATGTCAAATTTGACCTCAAAATTATAACTTTCAGAATGTTGTTTTTTCTTGAAAGTTCTCAAAATTTTTGTTTATGCATAATTATATTGTTTTGTTGACAATAATCAAAGATCCTTTGCTTTCTTGAAAATTCTGAAAATTGAAAAATTAAAAAAAAACTAACGGAAAAATTCGAATCAGGCAGATTTTGGGCTCCAAAATAAGTATGACATACCGTAAACACTTTAATAGAACGCCACCCGGACCGTCCACTTTGAGCCTATATATCTCACTTGTTTTGAAAGATATCAAAAAGTTGTAAACTGACAAAATGTTTATCATGATATAAGCAAAATTTTATCAGTTGACCACTTTTTGATATCTTTCACAGAAAATAAGATACATGGGCTTAAAGTGGACAGCCTCCTCCCTCCTTACCTCCCCCCCCCCCTCCTCTGGCGACGGCTCTGGGGAGACTCTCTTCTGGTGAGGCCCGATTGTTTTGAACTCCTATATCTCAGTTCCTGTGAAAGATGTCAAGAAGTTTTCAACTGATAAAATGTTTATCATAATGTCAGCAACATTTTATCAGTTAACCACTTTTTGATATCTTTCACAGAAAATGAGATACATTATAACGAACCTCCGTTGCTTCCTACAAAGGCTCAAAGTTGACGATTCAGGTGACTTTCAATTAGAGTGTTTACGGTATACTGAAGTTCATCCAAATATAGATTTTTTGATATACAAGAATCAGTTTTCCAAAGAAAAGTATAGAATGTATTTCAAAAACGATCTGCAACATTGTTTTTTTTAACATTTTGCAATGAAATTCCCTTATGTACCATTTTTATGACCCCCCAACTTCCGCCTATAAAACCCACCGAACCTCCGTTGCTTCCTGCAAACTCTGAAGCTATGAGGTTGCTCATATTGCTCACTCTCCTAGGGATTACTGTAGCCCGCGATGATTATTCCGGAGGTCATCGTCCTCCACCAAGACCAAAACCCCCAGCCGGAGGCCGCACCAAATGTCCAGCCGGTTGGATGCTCTTCAAACGATCCCAAGGCAATTGGTGTGTTGGGGTAAGATAGACTACAAACTACAAAAACTACAAACAAGATGAAATTTCAGCTATTTGTGGGTCAATTCACTCAACCTAATGCTGAACTCCAGTGCCATCAGCATCAGGCAGTTTTGACAGGATTGCAGTCAAATAATGAGCGACAGAGATTGGCATGTAAGATTTTTGTAGTTTGGGGTTACTGTAGTTTGTAGTCCATGAAATTCGACATATTTTGAACCCAAGATTGTAGTGCTAGGATGGTTTTAAGCAAAGTTAGGGAGGGGGCGTTTGAAAATTTCAAAAAATTGTCTTTCAAATTTTTCTAGCTGCCGGACAAAAAATGATCCAAAAACATGGCTACGGAGATGCCGCTATTTGGCTGGGTGCCAGAAGAAAAGGCTCCTGGAATGTGTCAACCCAAGGAGACTTTCTTTTGGACTGATAAGCATACGAAAGGAACTGCTGGATTTGGATGGGCTGCTGGACAACCGGATGGAGTGCTGAGTTATACTTTGGGGTAGGTGAGGGGTACCATATGGTACTATGGTACAGAAATGGGTTATGGTCTAGGGATAGGACCAATTATGTGATACAGGGCTAACTATAAAGCTCAATTCAAAAAAGAAATCGTTCCGAATTTTTAATGAGTACCATATGGTACCATATCATACCATATGGTACAGAACCATGATCATAGTACGGGGCTAGAACAGAACTGCGACGAATAACCAGTTTGAACTAGCTATTTAGAACAGTATGGGCGATATGGTACAGGTCTAGAAATCATATGGTACCCAATTAGTCACCATATCGTAAAAAGCTAAAACCCAAGTATGACACATCATGAATTTTTTGTGGGTACCATATGATACTATGGGTAGCATATGGTACTGAGGGTACGATATGGTACTTTGGGTGTCATATGGTTATCTGCGTAACATATGGTACAAAGTATAGTAAGATCCTTGGATCACCATGGAGCTAAGTTAGGAGCCATACAGTAGGTACCATATTGTATTGCGGATACCATATGGCGCTGTGAGTACTCTATCGTATTGTGGGTGCCATATGGTACTATGGGTAATATATGGTACCAACCTGACACTCTAATGGGACTAAACTAATTTTTTTGAGAGATTCCGGGGTTATTGAGAGGTTCCGGGTAATTCGGGCCCAAATTTCTTGAATTTCCGACCTAAAATCATTAATTTCCAGAGCCCAATCATGTGTGCACCAATTCGTCTTCCCAAGTGGGACCACTCATCCAAGATGGCCAGGAATCATGCATGGGCAATTAGATGATCAATATTGTCAAGAAGGACGTATAAATCCAAACCGGAAAATGTACGCTTGTGGAAAATTGGCTACTTAATTACCTTGTATAGTTAATTGGTTAATTAATAAAATGATTGCTGAAAAATTTTAAAATTGACTGCCAACTTCAAGGAAATTCATCTGGCTTCCTGTGAAAGATATCAAAAAGTGGTCAACTGATAAGATATTGATAATTTTACAATAATCAATTTATCAGTTGACAATTTTTTGATATCTTCCACAGGAAACAATATAATTGAGCTCAAAGTTGATGTGTCTGGTATTTTCCATGAAAGCAAATACGACAATTTGAAAATAATTATTTAACAGTTCATTTTTGGATTTTTAGAGTTCTGAATTTCAAAAATCAACAACAATTCTTTTGAAGTTTTGCAATAAAAAACCCTCGTTTTCGAAATTTTATGATCGAAAAAATATTGTTCGAGGGAACAAGGAGCTGTCCAATGAAAGTATAAAAAGTCATCGATTCGTAACTTTTTCTTCATTTCTTCAGAAAATGAAATTCTTAATTTTAATCATTTTCTGTTTCGTCTGCCCAATTTTAGCGGCCATTGGCCGCTATGATGGCGGTCGGGACAGCAGTTCCTGGTCCTCGGAATCTTCTGAAGGCCATGGCCACGGCCATGGCGGTCGACCACGTCCACCACGACCACCAGTACGCCCACGCCCGCCAAGAGAGAAAACCAACTGCCCAACCGACTGGATGCTATTCAAACGAACACAAGGCAATTGGTGTGTTAGGGTAAGAGAGACTACAAACTACAGAAACTAAAAACTATAAATTTTCAGGTTTTTGTTGGCAGATTTAACCATCCCCAGTCTGAGGCCCAATGTGTTGCTCAAGGAGCAAAGTTGACTGGATTGCAGACAAATGAGGAGAGGCTGAAAGTGGCAGGTTAGGGATTTTTGTAGTTGGTAGTTTGTAGTGACTTTGACAATGGGTAATAACCAGCTTTCTGGAATAATCTTATGGTACATAGCAGTGAACCATATGGTGCAAATCAATAATCTTGTTGTAGCTTTTGAAATCCCAAATTTTCCAGATGCGGGGCTGAAATTAATCCATCAAAATGGGTTCCAACAGGCATCTCTCTGGCTTGGCGCCAAAAGAAAGGCATCATGTCCACGTGCTGGAATATGTGCTCCAATCGACACATTCGAATGGACTGATGGACAAACAACGGGAACCGATGGGTTCAATTGGTTTTCTCATCCAGGTGACGTTCAACCGGATGGCAAGTGGAGAAATGATTGGGGGTGAGTTGGAATCACATGACCAGCAGTAGTGCCGTATTGTAGATCTCTAACACCCCATATAATTTGCAGACATCAAAGCTGCGCTCTGCAATTTTTATTCGCCAGTGGAACGACTAGTAATGCATGGAGAGGATTTGTTCATGGGCAGATGGATGATCAATGGTGTCAATACTTGGATAATAACAGTAGACTGTATGCTTGTGGAAAATTGGCAACTTAATTACCCTATAATTAGTTGGATAATTAATAAAATGATTGATTGTCGGAATATAAATTTTAATAAACACTTTGAAAATATCTGTCAACTTTGAGCTCAATTATCTTGACTCCTGTACAAGATATTAAAATGTTGTCAACTGAAAAAATATTTGTGATAATATGATAAGAAATTTATCAGTTGACAAATTTTTGACATCTCTTACAGGAACGAAGATAACTGAGCTCAAAGTTTAACAATACTGAGGGGCTCATAGTTACCCGGACTCAAGTTTTCATAGCATAAAATTTGAGTATGGCATTGTACTGGGCTCAAATTTAGAGAGCAACAATTAGCATACTTCATCAATAATCTAACAGAGTTTCATATCATTTTATCAACTTTGAGCTGAGTTGCAGCTTGTCAAAGTTGTTTCATCTCATAAATGTTGTAGCTCAACTTTGCCTAACCATAAAAACTGTAGGAATGATGGTGAGTGGCTGAAAATTTATGAGTGTTAAGATAAACTCTCCTAAAATCATTTATAAGCATTTTAGATTGCTACAAAACTGATCAAATTGGTAGTCACCAGTTTTCCGAAGAGGCTAAATTTAGAAAATGCTCGAATTTTTGAGATGAATTGATCTGACGGCTTGAAATTTATGATTTTGTGTGTGTGTGTGTGTGTGTGTGCGCGCGCGTGGGTGCGTGTGCCTGCGTGCGTGCGCGCGCGTGGGTGTGCCCGTTTGTTCCCGCGTCGGCGACCCTAGAAAAGTCACCAGTAGATCAAATTTTCTCAAATTTTCACAGATGGTCGGAAATAACACCGAAATGATGCCCCATATTTCCGTTTGTCGAGATTTTGATTTTGAAGCCTTCTGGAGACATTCCTTGGTTTCAGCACACTGAAAGTGGTGGAACTTCCCCCCTAGGAAGAGTTGCCGAGGGGAAGAGAGGTGATGTGTTTACCTCTATTGTCGAATGGAACAAAAACTGGGACCTGAGAATTTCAGTAAAATCTAGTGATTTTTGAAATCAAAAATCAACAAAAAATCGACTTGCAAGAAAAACCTTTTTTCGCAATTTTATAACCCCGAAAAAAAACTTTTCCGGAGAACAAGGAACTTTTTTTGTTTGATGAGGGTATAAAAAGCCAGCGGCTCTAAACTTTTTCTTCAGTTTTGAAAACAGAAAATATGAAGCTTTCAATTCTAATATTTTTCTCTTTTCTCTGCCCGATTCTAGCGGCCATTGGTGTCTATAATGGCGGCGAAGATAGCAGTAGTAGCTCTTCATGGTCTTCGGAATCCCATGAAGGTCGAGGGGGCGGACGAGGTGGTCGAGGCGGCCACGGCCACGGTAATGGTGGGGGTCGACCACGTCCCCAACGACCACCAGCACGTCCACGACCGCCAAGAGAGAAGACCAACTGCCCGGCAGACTGGATGCTATTCAAACGATCTCAAGGCAATTGGTGTGTTAAGGTGAAAGAGACTTCAAACTACAGAAACTAAAAACGACGAACCTTCAGGTTTTTGTTGGTCGATTGAACCAACCCCAAGCCGAAGCACAATGTGTTGTTCAAGGAGCAGTGTTATCTGGATTGCAGACGGATGAGGAGAGGGTGAAAGTGGCAGGTTAGGGATTTTATAATCTGTTTGTAGTCTTACCCATATGGTACATGACAATGAGCTATACAGCACTAAAAAGTAGCCATATGACGCCCATATAGTACATCTAGAACGTCGAATAGAGAGCTTTAGTGATCATATGGTACATAGCAACGAACCATATGGTGCAAATCAATTACCATTTTCTAGTCTTTGCAATTCCAATTTTTCCAGAAATGGCTACAAAATTGGTCCATCAAAATGGGTTCGATCAGGCATCTGTTTGGATTGGTGCCAAAAGAAAGGCAGCATGTCCACGCGTTAATGTTTGTCCCGCAAAAGACACCTTCGAATGGACTGATGGACAAACAACGGGAACCGATGGATTCGGATGGTCGCTGGGACAACCAGATGGCGTTTGGAGCAATGTGTGGGGGTGAGTTGCGGTAACATATGGGGAGAGGCACTAAGTGGAAGTTATTGGAACCACATGGCCCATATAGCTCGTGCAACACCATATGGTACCAGTTCACGCCATAAGGTGTTTGAAATATGATACTAGCTTAGTTATTCGTATTCAATTTCAATAAAACAACTGGGTGGTACCATATGGTACAGTCATGAGGCTCATGGTACAGGTTGGGGTACCAATGATATATACTGCGTGGATAGCGTTCCATGATATAAATATTGCTAGCAGTACCATATGACCCACACCTAGAGTACCATGTGATATAGTTCTAGCAGTACCATATGGTACCACTCGACAACCCCCATATTATTTGCAGACATCAAAGCTGCTGCCATCAATTTGTATTCGCCAGCGGATCTACTAGTCCAACATGGCCAGGAATATTCCACGGGCAGTTAGATGATCAACATTGTTTGGAACAATGGAATGGTTCCAACAACAAAATGTACGCTTGTGGAAAATTGGCAACTTAATAAAACCTATAACTAGTTTGATAATTAATAAAATAATCAGTGATTGTTGAAAATGAGGACTTTCTTTGAATCAAGAAAAATGACAAATTAAAGTTTTGGAAAAAAAATCATTGTCATATTTGAGCTTAATTATCTCGATTCCTGTAAACGATATCAAAAAGTGGTCAACTGATAAAATGTTGCTGATTTTATGATAATAAATTGACCACTTTTTGAGATCTTCCACAGGAATCAATTACCCAACATATGGTAGAAAAACGCTGTCTCGACAAACATACACACAGACGGACCACAAAATTTGGGAATTTCTACGTAAACTTTGTTGGAACCTGGATTTTTCTAAAAATTCGTGGTTTCTAGAATAAAAAGAAGTGCCAACTGGAATTTCAGCTCTTCCCAAGAAGCCAATTATTTTCCAATTTCTGGAGTCTTTTTTCTAGAAGACAAGAGAAAACAATCTTGCTACAAGCCGCATTTTCTTTTTTGTTTTGCAATTCGTTGTTCGAGGCATTTCGAAGAAGAATAATGGAGAAGAAAAGATCTAAAACAAACCTCTTGCAAAAGTTCGCCGAGAAGTTCAAGAAGAAGAAGCGCGCCAAGTCGACGTCGGTAGGTCAAAAAGGGAAGGGAATTTGAAAAATCGATAATTGGAAGATATTCCAAACACTTTGATCCAAATATCAGCTTTCTAGGGTGGTTTTGAGCTGAGTTATAGTTAAGGGGTATTTTAGTTTGTGGCTTTTGTAGTTTGTAGTCCACTGGTGGCCATATAGTACAGAGCGATAAACCATATTTAAGTCTTGTAGTCTTTGTAGTAGTTGTAGTTTGTAGCTTTTGTAAACTTTTTAGTCCGACCCATGTTCCCTAGCAGTGTACCATATGGTACTACTGGTGACCATATGGTACAAAGCGGTGCACCATACATTGTCTTGTATTTTTGTAGTTTGTAGCCCTTGTAGTCTAGCAGTGTGCCATATGGTACCACTGGTGGCCAAATGGTACAGGGCGATGAACCTTATTTGATCTTGTAGTCTTTGTAGTCTTTGTAGTCTTTGAAGTCGTCCACATTTCCAGGCTTCCCGCGAGCGGAGCTCAGAAATGAGCCGCCGCCCATCTCGCCAACATCGCTCCCCATCAAAAGGCAAACAAACGACGCCATCTGGAACCCCGTCGGCTTCAGCGGAATCCAAAAGTCGCATCGATTTGATGGAGGTGACGGCGAAAGGTGTCAAAGAGAAGACGAAAGAAAAACAACGGACATCCGATAAGAATAAGAAGAAGAAGAATGAGAAAGAGGTGAGAAACCTACAAGAGTGTTTTAAACTTCTTGGATTTTGCTGAAATTTTGGGAGTATACTAAACAAGATGTCAGCTTTATTTTTGTAGTTGACAACTTTTTTGAGAAATTAGGTCCTGAGGAGATATGTCTCTTTTCTGGCGCCTGTTCCCGCGCAAGGGTAGGCGCGTTCACAGGTACGTCCTCTTCCACGTGGCATATCTCCCCCAGGACGGGATTTTTCTGAAAAGTTGTCAACTACAAAAATGAAGCTCTAGTTTTGTTCAGTATATTCTGAAAATTTCTTTTTACAAAAATGACTGCAATACGAGATACGCCACTTAGAAGAAAGTCTTTCCGGGTGGCGCCCCCAGAGGGGAGGAGGGATGTGGCGCCAAAAAGAGGTGCACCTTCCACCTGGCATACCTCCTCCAGACTTAACTTTTCGAAAAAGTTGTCAACTACAAAAATGATGTCCATGCCTTGTTTAGTATATTCTGAGATTTTCAGAAAAATTGAAAATTTTTTGAGCTAGGTTTTCAGAGATTTTAATTTAGCGTTTTTTTTTCGATTTTTCGAAAAACGTTGTACAAGAATTTTGAACTTTCGAAGTTCAAAACTTCAAAATCGGTACATATTTCAGACCACCATAGCCCCATCAAAATCTCCATCGACTCCAGGTCTCCGTCGTGCTGACAGCCTCATGGAATTGTCCCAAAATTCGAAAGTCGTTGAAAAAGCCGTGAGAACCTGGTTGGAAACTATTGGAAAAGAGGATTTTATGAAGAAGACGTTGGATAGTGAATACAAATCACTGGATGCGATAAAAGTGGATATGGACAAGTGTCAGGCGTTCAAAAAGAATATCGATTTGTGTCAATCGGAAAATATTGAAGTGCTGGATGCGAATCGAGTCAAAGGGAATGGGGAAGCGGACTTTTTCTATCATGCCAGTGTTTTGAATTTGGCGCCGGTACGCTATTTATTGATTTATTGATTTTTTATTTGTTGAAAAATCTGAAATTTCTTGATTTCCAAGCATTTTCAGTCATCTATCGTAATACCTCTAATAGAAGCCCCCCCCCCCCCAACTGTCAAGTGTGACCTTAATTATCTCAATTCTTGTAAGAGATATAAAAAAGTTGTCAACTTATAAAATGTTGCTGATATTATGATAAGCATTTCATCAGTAATAATTAGGCTCACCCTTGGCAATGTGGGGGCCCTTCAATTACAGGTATTGTTGAAATCCTTCAGATCACCACCAAAACCACCATCCTTGCTCAACTCGCCGATTTGGACTCTCCCCAATCTCTGGAATCCTTCTGGCTCATGGTGGCGGCTCAAAAAATCCAACGAGTCTATTTTCTAACCGGATCCGATTCCTCCGATTCCGCAGAACTCGACAAATCGGCATTTGCCACGTATTTCCCGGAAGATTTCACCGAATTCAAAACGATTCGTGTCAATAATCGAAAAACGATTCAAAAATCTGAGGAGCAGCCGAATTCTCAGCTATACTATGAGGTTGTACCGAAGGATTGTGCCGAGGCTCCGTTCTGTATGATTGAGATTTGTGATTTTTGGCCAGATGCCAAGATTCCAGCCATCTTACAGTCGGTTAGAATCGCTGGGACAGCTGCAAGCGTTTTTGAGACTGATATTGTGAGTTTGAAGCCTACAAAAACTACAAATACTACAAACTACAAACTACGCACGACAAATGCTACAAGGTTTAAACATTAACCTCCCAGGTTAAACCTTTTAGTTTAAAGCCACATAATTCATCCCTTATAGCTTATTACTGCTGACTACAAACTACAAACTATAAAGACTACAAACTACAAACTATAAAGACTACAAACTACAAAAACTACAAAAACTAAGAAGCCTACAAAAATTACAAACTAAAAGGTTTAAACATTAACCTTCAAGGTTAAGCGTTTAACCTTCAGTTACTGAACCCATATCTTATAGCTTATGGCTTACGACTACAAACCACAAAGACTACAAACTACAAACTACAATGATTTTCAGGATGCCGATGCGTCGTGTGCAATTATGAGCAATTACGGTGCCGGTAGACCAGGATCGTTTCTGGTTGGAGCATTGGCAATTGAGAAGCTGAGAAATGGAGATGTGCCAAACATTAAGGTGATTTATTTTGGTTCTTGGTAAAGGTAGAAAAAATAATTAATTAGGAAAATGTAGGAAATTTTATTTTACACATTTCTCTAGTTAGCAACTTTTTGATATCTTTTTTGGGAATCGAGATAATTAGCTTGGAAGTTAATTGCCTAAAAAGTTATTGCGACACCTTTGAGTCTTAATATCTCGTTCCGCAAAAGAGATACAAAAAAGAAATTAACAATAAAAATTTAGGAATTTTAATTTTACATATTTTACTAATTGAGAATATTTGTATACTATTCAGAAGAATCTAGATAATTTAAGTCAAACACAGAGTAGCTCCCCGCGCGCCATGGCGCCCTGTAAGGGAGGTGGGTGGTGCCAACTTTAACTTTTTGTATCTCATTTCCTGAAAACAATACAAAAATATTGCCAACTAATAAAATATAGGAAATTTTATTTTAACCAAGATAATAAATCATTTTCCAGGACATCGCTATCCTTGTCCGTTCCCAGCGTCCTGGTGCAATTGAGACGTTTTCTCAATACATGTCCACTTACATAATTGCACTGTATTACGGTCAAAAACATGTGAAAGATGGGGAATTGAAATCTAAGTTAAGCAATTTGATTTCTCAATTGGAGACATTTGCGACGTCGAGTATGAAGGAGGAGGAGGATGATGATGACTCGGCCGGCACCACCACCGGCAGCAACACTTGTGATTGAACTATGAATTGATTGAAAAGACCGAAATAAACGGATTTTAAGATAATTGGGTTTTTCAGATTCTTAGCTTTCGAATGATACCAAATTTAGAGTTGGAGCTCCAAAATGAGCCAAGTTATAGCGATTTTTAGTTTTGCTACTGGAATTGTGGCTTATCATTCAAAAAAGATGGATGCATCGAATTTTAAACTGTAGTAAATCAAAATATTCAAAATCGATATTAATTTAAAAAATCTGAGCTTTCAAATGGTGCCAAAATCAAGATTCTAGCTTGAAAATGAGCCAAGTTATGGATTTTTTTTTTTAAGTTTTGGATTTGAAGCTCATTTTCAGCTCATTTTCTCTGGAAAAAATGACCCAATTTTCCTCATTCCCAGTTTTTGTTTACCAGGCAAAAAAAACGAAAAACAAAAATTTATTTTATTTTTCTCTATTTTTCACCACCCGGTGGTGGTGAATGTCTTCTGAATATTTTGACGTCTTCTTCTTCTTCTTCGTTTTTTCAGAATTCTTCTAGAAGAAAATTAATGGAATTATTTTTTTCTGGTCTTTTCTAGAAGGAAAAATGTCATATTATCTCATAAATTATCAATGAATTTACCATTTTCTTATAGGGAAAATAAGAAAAAAGAAGGAAATGAAATATTTTATGATTTTCCCATTTTTCTTTTCATTTTCTGAATAATTCTGGAATTTTCTCTAGGATTACCGTAGATATGTTTCTATTTTTCACAAATTCAGAAATTCCAGAAAATTCGAAAATCCTTTGAGATTTTGGATGCATTCTTAAAATTTTATATTATTTATTGTTTATTTTTTTTTAATTATTTATTTTTTTTATTTTTTTTCAGACTTCCTTATTCCCTCTGGAATTCTCAGAAAACGCGCTCTATTGACAATTAATTTTATTTGTTTTCCACAAAAAAAATTCCCTTGTGATATATCCAAATTCAATATTAACCTTTATATATCCGACAAACAGGTAGTATTATTTGTTTGGACATATAAAACATATCGAATTTCACATTTTCACTCGGAAAAATAGAAAAATGGCTGTGTGAGAGAGAGCGGATATTTTTATGTTTAAACTAGTAGAAAGCAATTTTAAGCAAAAAAAATCTGAAATTTCTAGCCAAAAATCATCAAATACGGATGAAAATGAGCCGAGTTACAGCGATTTGAAGTTTGGTTCCTGAAATTTTAAAATTCTCGAAATATCAAAATTTTCAGAATTTCAGAAGTTCAGAGAAAATTCAAAAATTTCAGAATTTCAGAACTTCAGAGTATCAGAATTCCCAATTCTCAAAAATCTCCGAATTTTTGCTTCCTTGAATTCTTGACAGTTTCGGAGTCTCATAATTTCCAAACCGTCTATTTTGAGACTAGTTCCTTACACTGACCTTGTTAGGTCAGTGACCCCAAAAAATGACAAATTTCCAAGAAATGTTTTGAACAACATTCTAAAAAAAAGTCTAAAAAATACAAAACAAAAATATGCTTTTGTCTTTTTTTATTATTATTCATTCTTCTCGGGATTCTTTTTTGACATCCCGCTGAG